CGGCGCCCCGCGCTCCGGGCGCCGCGCGCACGGCCCACACCAGCGCCCCCGCCGCCTGCAGCTCGGAGCCCGGGCCCCGAGGGGGCGCCCTTCGCCTCCCGCCCAGGGAGGGCAGGCCAAAGCGCGAGGCCGAGTCCAGCGACGTAGTGGTCACCTCGTTGGTGGCCAAGTCCTGCAGGTACTGCTGACGCGTGCGCGTGGCCATGGCGTGGAACTGGCGTGCGTGGCCTGCTGCCTGCTCGCCATTGAGCGCCTTGGCCAGCAGGAAGGCGCGGAAGTCGGCGTTGGCCGGGAAGGGGCCTCCGCCCTGGGGCAGAGACGGCCCAAAGGCAGGGGTGTCCTGGGTGCGGCTCACGGCCACCCTGAGGGGAGGGAGGCGGTAGTTAGGGGCCACTGGGAGGGTCCGTGGCGGTGGCAGAACTGGGACCACCCAGGCACCCACCTGTAGGAGGTGTGTGGCGTGCAGGGTGCATGAGCCCGCACCACCAGGAAGATGTGCTGAAAGTGCGAGCGGATGGTGGCGGGGCAGAAGGGCTTGCTGCCAGGTTCCTGGAACACGATGGTCACGATGTCGTTGCCAATGTGGCGTTTCCGAAGGAGCTGGGAGTTAGATGGCAGGAGATGTAACCCGGACCCGTCTGCCCAAGTCCCTCCTAATTCTGGCAGGGCGGAGGCTGGGCACCAGGGGCTCCCCCACCTGCCCCTGGGGAAGGTCTGGGGTGATTGTCTTTGGGGAGGGTTGTTTGGGCCTCGAGAGATCTCAGGTCAAGGTTCGAATGCCACCGCCCACGTGACCCCCCCTCCATGGTTCCCCAGAAGCCCGTGGCCATCCCCCAGCCCCGTCATAGCTCTTCACACCTGCTGCTGGTTATTGGGGGTGTAAGGCAGCATCGTGGACACGTGGAACATGATCTCGTGGTCCTGGTACGTGGTATACAGGGAGTGTGTGCCTGTGGAATCCGCTGTGGCCAGGGGTTCGGGGACACGGGGGACAGCAAGAGGGATCGGCTCGAACTTGGCATCCCTGCTTGCGGTCTCGAGCTCCTGTGCCCCCCAACCAGCAGGCGGACCACCCCTCAAGCCACCAGGTCACGAAGTCATGGCTTCACCTGTGGCTGCTCCCTGCCCCTTCCCCCACAGGCTCCAGCCTCCAGCCTAGGCTCGGCGTGGGCGTGCGGAGATAGAACGAGGACCTCAGCGAGGAGTGGCCTGCTCTGAGGGGGGCGGAGGTGGATGTCCCAGGAGAGGACAGATTTGGCCCAGGCACCAGCATGCGTGGAGCAGCTGAGAGTGGAAGGAGGCCAGAGGTGCTCCGCAAGCGGCCCTGGGGCCCTTCCAACCCGGGAGGCAGGGGCATTCCCGAGGAAGCAGGGCTGGGGGAACATGTGTGTTTGACGGAGGGAGCGGTGCCTGCCAGCCCGCGTGGCTCCAGCTCAGGCAGTAGGGCATCAGGGCCTTGGGGGACCATCCTAGTCCTTCCTTCCAGCCCGTGGCTTGCCTGGCCAGTGTGGCCCCTGACCCATGTCCTCAACCTGCCCAAAGAACTCTTCAACCCGGGCCTCAGACCCAGGACACTACAGGGGAAGCGGTGACAAGCCAGGGGGCTCTCACCAAGGCCGTCTGCCCCTCGGCACCGGTCCGCCCCCACTCCCAGCCCCGGGGCCTCACTTTTGGTGTCCAGCTGGGCCCTGTAGCTCTCAAAGCCTTTGAGCCGCACCACGTCGCCCAGCAGGGTGAGGAACTGCGTGAAGGCCGGTCCTGCCTCCTGGTTGTTGTACATCTCCTCCTCCGAGCCCTGGCCGGCGCGGCAGTACAGGATGCCCACCTTGCGCTGGAAGCTCAGCTGCGGGGCGGCACAGGCAGAGGGCCCAGGCCTCAGTCTCTCGGGCCCTGCGCCCACCGGGTCTTGGGCAATGGGCTGGGGGCTGGGCTGTCTCTGCGAGCGGCCCTGAGCACCTCCCTCGCTAAGCCACCTCTGTGTTTCTGCCTATAAGTGGGTTTGGTCTGTCCTGCCCCCTCCCCCCACCCCACCCAGTGCTCAGGAGGGTAGAGGAAGTCGCAGGTGGGAAGGGACCAGGAGGGGGGTGGTTCTCATGTGACCACAGACGAGGTGATTCGTGGAAAGGACCCGGCCCAGGTGCACTGGCTCCATCTCTGTGAACGTTCACATTGTCATCCTCCTTATCTTAAGGCTAGCCTGTCCTCCCCTCCCTCGAATCCCAGGCATCCCCAGCCCAGCCTCTGGAGGCCTTGAGCCCTGCACCCCCTCCGCTCCTGCTGTTCCCGGCTCCTTTCCATCCGGGCTTAACCGTGCACAGCTCAAGGTGCTCTGGCCCCTCGGGCTCCAGCCTCCTTTCTTCACGAGAAGCTTGTCTACACTCAGTCCCCACTTCAATTTCATCACTCCTGACTCCTGTAGCCCCGCTTCCACCCCAGCTCCAAATCCCTGCGGCTCCTTCAGCCCATGGGCGTGTCTTACCCTGGCACACTGTCTCCACGGTGGGCGCCTGGGACGACTGGAACTTCACTTTACCTGAAACCCTAACGACCCCACTGTCTCCGGCCTGGGCCTCTTCTCCGCCCACGGTCTCTGCCCTCGGTGACGGTCGCAACCGTCTCCACGGGAAGAGACTCCAGTCTCTGCCTCCAGCTCAGACCTTTCTTCTGAGCTCCAGACCCGTTTCTCCGGCTGCCCAAGTGTCCTTCCCCCCACTTGGCACCTCACCCCCCTCACTGTGCCGCTCCCATCCCACCCACCTACCCCTGGACTGTCATCTCCTCTTCACCTCTGCCATATCACCATCAGGTCTGGCTTGGATGACTACAACAGCCTCTGACCTGGCCTCCCTGCCCCTCCAGTCTGGCCTCCACACTGCCACCTGAAGGCTGCTCTACCTTTCATACCTTCCATGGCTCCCCAGTGCCCCCAGGACCAAATGCAAGCCTTCCCGAATACAAGCCTTCCCCATCCCCCTTCCCCCCAAGTGCTACTCCTGCCACACAGAACTGCCTATAGGACCCCAGTGTGACCTGCCCTCAGTCACTAAGCCTTCACACAAGTTGTTTCTTCTGTCTGGAAGACACCTGTTCTTCCTGAGCCAAGCCCTTACATTTCCACCATGATACTAAACCCCAAGCCAAGGAAGGGCTGTCAAGACTACCCTTGGCGCCCCACGGAGCCTTCAATATTCCTCTTTCACTGCTCCACGATTAACTGTGGGTCTCTCTCTCTCTCTCTCCCCACTGGCCGTGAGCTACTCCAGGACAGCACCTGGTCTGGACATGTCCCCAAGTGTCCAGTCCGGGGCCCAGCATCAAGTTGTGAGAAAATGTTTGTTGAATGGCTGACAGACCGAATGACACAGAGGAGGAGAATCGGAGCCAGTGGGCAGCTTTCAGCACAGGGTTGGGAAGGACTGCCACTGGCTCGATCTGTCCCACAGTGGAACGGGCAGTCCCAGGAAGGAGTGAGCACCCCACACTGAGAGGAGACTAAGCAGCACCTTGCAGGGCAAAGTGACAGGGAAGGAGAGGGACTTGCAGGAAGGGGAGCAAGTGGTCAGATCAGTGTTTCTCAACTGAAATGTACATGGCAATTAACTTGCGATCTTCTGAAAGTACAGGCTCTGATGCGGTGGGACAGGCAGGGCCCAAAAGTCTGCGTCTCTAACAAGCTCCCAGATGGCGTGGATGCTGCTGGTCTACGGGTTATACTTTGAGAGGCAAGGCTCTGGATGACCTGTGCTGCCCCCTCTGAAAAGCCAGCTCTCTTGGGGTCACCGTCCAGCCCAGGATCAGGGTCAGGGCTAGGCGGCTGGGAGCTGAGCAGACTGGGTTCAGACCAGGTCTAGCTGTAGGGGCTGCGCGGGGACACCGGCCACTCACCACTTGCTCGTCCAGCGTGAGCAGCGTGCGGGGCACCTTCGGTGAGGCTGAGCCCAAGCGCAGGCAGGTTGGGCTCAGCCGTGGCGCCACGTGCTCCAGAAGCTTCCTCGGGGACAGACCCCGCGGGGGCCCCGGTGGCAGCGCATCCTCCGAGATGGTGCCGCGGAGGGTCCGGAGCTGAGGAGGGGACATGGGGGCGCTCAGAATCCATACAGGCTTTCGAGGAGGCAAAGCGCGTTCGGGTCCCATGACCTCGGCTCACCTGTGTGGTCCGCACGATGACGCGGTAGCTGTGCAGAGTGCCTCCTCCGCTGCCTTCCTTCTCCTCCCGCCGCAGGCTCACTGCCACCGGGCCCAGCACCTCGTCCAGTCCGAAGAAGTTCTGGTGTTCTGGAGGGGGGTGCGGGGGAGGGCCAGTCGGTGGATGACCGGCCCCACACCCCCCCCGGGGGTCCCACCCCCGCTCGACCACGACCATCACTAAATCCACCCCCCTTCCCACGCCCCATCCCCTCACCTAGTGGGGACCCTAGACTAAGGCCCACTCCCTCCGCAGCCCCGCCCCCGTTCTACCAGGCCAAATCCCTATCCGTGTTTGGCCCTCTGCCCCGCCCCCTGGGCGGCTCGGCACACCTCACACCTGCCCCAGACCCAGGGGGCCAATGCCCGCTCCCTTCCAGGCCTAGATCCTGCCGGGTCCCGCCAGCCACATCCGCCCATCTTCTGCTGCAGGACGTCTGGGGCCCTCCCTTCTGGGAACTGACGAGAACGAGGTTCCCAGGTGCAGAGGTTTTCACACCTCACTCTTCACCTCACAGAAGTGTTGATAGAAATTCTCTCCCCAGCCCGGAGGGGTAGGAGGGGTAGGATGAATCGATGGAGGCAGAAGGCCTCAGGTGGTTAAAGCTGGTTAAAGGTGGTTAGAAGGCCTCAGGTGGTTAAAGCTAGGCCCTGCTGGGCAGCCTTGGCCCCAGAGGCAGACCCCGACCCTTCGCGCAGCCGGCCGGAAACTTGACAGGGAAATGACAACTCCTGAGCCCTACCATGTGCTGGTCAGGTGACAGGGCCTGCTGCCCAGCCCTCCCCTTACCTTTGCCGTAGAAGTACTTGCGGTAGTAGCCAGCACCCAGGTCTGCGTGCTCCAGGCTGTAGGCCGAAGTTCGGTTCTGCGGCTCCTCCAGGATGGACACGGCCGCGTTGGGCAGTGCAGGGGGCACGGGTGGGGACGCCGGTCCACCCAGGCCCAGCTCGCCCTCACCCCCGAGCTCACTCACGAAGCCAGGCGCTTCGAGCAGCAGGTCCGAGCCGGCGGACAGGTCATCAGCGGAGGCCGGAGTCCCAGAGCCAGCCTCTGCGTGGCCGCCCGTCCCCCGCGGCCTCGGAACCCAGTCAAAGAGCAGACTCTGCACGTCATAGTGGGCGAACCAGTGGGGCTCAGGCACCGGCGGGAAGGCGGGCTCCGGCTCCTCGGCCGGGAGCCCCAGCAGTGCCAGGGGGTCAGTGAAGAGCCGGGTAGGGGTCGCGGCAGGGCGGCTGGCCTCCTCGTGGCTGTGGGCCCGGGCGCGAGGGCTGGCCGGTGTGGGGGGCCGGGCCTCGCCGGCATCGCTGCCGCTGCGCAGGAGCGGGCCCCGGGCTGGTCTTGGCTCGAAGGTGTGCGGTGTCAGCGGGGGCCGGGCCGGCTGGCGCAGCTTCCGAGCGAAGAGGTCATCGGTGGGCGCAGGGGCTGGGCCCCGCCGAGGGCTCCCCACGCCACCGGCCCACATGGGCGTGATGTGGGCCTGGCTCTCCGGGGGCCGGGTCGCATTGGCAGGCACGGGTGGTTGGTGCCCGGGCGGCAGGCCAGTTCCTGCCCTGAGGGAAGAGGGGGCTGTTCAGTGGGGCCTGGGGAGAAAACAGGAACCCGGGCCCCAGCCTGGCCCTCCACCACGCGGGTTGGCTTCCGGCCCCCCTCCGCGACCATCAAAGCCTCTTCCGCTTTCCTGGCCACTTCCTCGTCTGCCCTAGGCTGAGGTTTCCAGCCCCCTCCTCCAGCTAAGTGAGGGGCAGGGCCAGGGGCCGGGCTGTCTGGGCCTGGGCCCTGAGGGTCTTGGAGTCCGGGCAGCCCTGGGGCGGTCAGTTCCTATGGCACACACCGTGGCTCTGGCCTGGGCCCAGAATGAGGGTCCCCACCAAGTCCTGGCCCAGCGAGACAGACGATTCGTCTTCACTGGGACGGGAAACCCACGGGGCCACTGATGTCTGGGTCTTACCCACTTGACAAAGGGAGGACGTCCTGTCCCCAGAGACCTTCCTCCCTGCCCCTCCCACTTCCTTCAGGGTCCCGGAGGAGCTGAGCACCCAGAACCTGGGTCTCGATGCCCTGGCCCTCATGGCCTCAATACCTCAAGGACACAGAGGTTCCCGGGGAGCACTGGGAGGGCAACAGAAACGACAAGAGTACTTCCTTCAGTACAGGAAGTGGCCCCAACTCTGAGCCCAGCCCCCTGCCCAGCACCATATCCTGAGGAAGGTGCTGGGGTCACACCAGCTCAGTCATGGGACCCATCCCCCTGGCCCGAAGGACAGGCCCAGGCTCACTCTCTGCAGCCTACTGTGGCCATGCCTGGGGGCAGGGGAAGGAGTCACACTGACGGAACCCCTTTGCTGGAACTGGGACCCACGGGACGGCTGCCTACCTGGCCTCGCTGATGCTGACAGGGAGGTCTGAACCCCATGTGACAGATGGTCAAACAGATCCAGAGAAGGGGATGCTCTTGCCTGAAGTAATGCCATGTTACAGCAAGGATTTGAACCTAGCTCTGTCAATCTCCAGGGCCTAGACAGCGCAGTACCTGCCCACTCCCGTCCCTGTGTGTGTAGGTGTGGGGTGAGCGGGGGGTGTTGGGCTGAGGCTTGAGGTCTCACGGGATGTAAGACTGAGATACCCAAGGTCCCAGGGACCTGCTAAATGCAGAAACGTGTCGAGGCCAGGGGCAGGTGCCAAGGGTAGTGTGAGAAGGTGAGGGAAGCCACCCCAGGTGAACTCAGGTTGGTGTGGGCAAGCAGGACAGGGATGTGGGACCCTCCACTAGGAACACAAGCGACTGCTGGTAGGGCTTTGGGCATCCTCCAGTGACACTGTGTGTGGCCAGGGTGGGGGCCAGGGCTCTGTCCACCCTTCAGCTTAAGCTCTAAGACAAAGCAAGGGTAGGCCACCACGCTCGGGGTGCCTCCTCCCTTAGTTTCTCCTAGGACAACCTCTGACCTCACCCCTGAGTCTCTGTTCCCTCATCTCTAAAATGGGGTTAACCTTCTGCCCTTTCCCAACACCACTGGGAGCCTGAAAGGAGGTTGAAGAGGGTGAAGCTGACCATGTGTGGTGATGATGCAGGCCCTGGTCTTGGGCCTGGGTTGTGAAGTGTGTGTTGGAGTGGGAGGGGACACGAGAGAGGGGAGCCGTGTAAGCCCCTGCTCCGCGTGGGCTGAGCTCTGTGTACGTGTCTGTGCACAGCCCATGGGGTGCCTCTCGCTCTGGCCCAGTGTTGGGCTCTAGCTTTGCCTTGGGGGGTGTTCTTGGGCTCTGCCCCCCACCCGGCAGCTTCACACAGGGTCCATTGAGGCCGGGACATTCCTCGCAGCCTGTGTCACTTGGGGGGAGGGGGCCGGCCCCGCCCCCACAGATCCGGAAGGCCTGGCTGCCCCAGGAGGAGGCCCTGGACGCTTCCCAGCACATCTGGAGGTCACGACCCCATTTCTGCTGCCAAGGGGGCGACAGATGTTTCCTCCCAGGCCAGGCCCGAGACTGGGGGACGGTGCGCAAAGGCTGAGGAGGAGGCCGCCCCGAGACAAGGGGAGCCCCAGAACAGGGGGAGCCCCTCACACAGCCGGCAGCAGGGGCAGTCGCCAGCGCCGCCCAGAGGAGTCGGGGCCGCCGCATCCAGTAGCCGGCACACTGGACGGGCCGGGCCATCACGCAGAGCAGTGTGGGGGCCGCCGGCCGGAGGCAGGGGACTGGACGTACTGATTCGGGACTGGAGCTGGAGCCCGGACGGAGGTTGGGAGGGTGCAGGCGGCGAACGCGGCGAGGACCCCCCTTCCACACACACACCACCCAGGCCCACGCCAAGCCACCTTTTCCCCTGTCTGGCCCGACCTCGGTGCTTCCACTCCCCCGCTCCCGCCGGTACCTCTAGGGCTCCCGCCTGGTGGCCGCCTCCCGCGCTGAGGTTCCGCTGC